CTGGATGGCATCCCGTCCCTCAGATGTGTAAACTGCACCACTCAGCTTGGTGTCACCCCAGTCCTGCCAAAATCTAAGCTGCTTGGATGTGAGGACTGTAGGCTTCAGTTACCTTGTACACAGACAGTCATTGAACTCTGCCCACTTCCCAGGCCAATTTGTTGACCTGTAGGCTATTACATCAAAGGAAAACTTCTTCAACAGCCTAGCTGGAACAGTCTCAAACAGGTGCTTTTAAGCACCTTTTGAGGTGAAGTCCTTCCATAGGCCCCAGCAACTCTCAGATATCCAAATGGTTAGGGAATATTTTTGAGGATTGTTTATTTAACCTAAATGACACAAGCCACACCTCCGACTTTTATGGACCTGGGTCTCAGTCGTTTGTTTTAGTCTTCCACAGAGCTTCGTAAACTTGTGGTTTAAAATGTTCTATAAGGCAATCTGTAGCCATTACAGACTACTTAATTTGGGGAAACTTAAATTTAATAGCAGATTAAGCCTGAAGAATTTAAACAAAATTTTTGGAAGTGCTAAGTAAATGTGATAGAATAGAGCACACAATAATCAGTGAAGGACTGAGAGCAAAGGGAGGCACAAGACATGATTATATTGCTGGCCTGCTTATGAAGTTTAGGTACTGATGAAACAGCCTACTTTTCCTTTTCCACTATGGTTATTTCTTTATATTTTTATGCCTTTTTTTTCCTATTGCATATTTCAGTACTGAGCAACATTTTAAAAAAAAGGGCACATCAGCAAGAATCGTTTTATCCTATAATTACAGGTCATACTAGAATTCATGGATTTTCAGGTGACTGATATGAGGGAAATCCCTCTGATTAAAGAAGAGCTCACTTCCTATAAAATGAGGGTTTTCAAATCCCTATATTCCTTCAGCATTGATAAAAGCAGTCTTTTTTTTTTTTTCTTGGTTTTTTTTTTTAAATGCTGCGTGCTTTTGAATAATGTAGCTCTTTTGGAACAAAGGTCCCTACTAGTCTGAATGGGTGAATGGGCACAGCTCCACTTTAGAAGAGCTATGTCAGTATTGGCAGGGAAGTTGGCTGCTTCCTTTGGCTTAGTGGGCTATATACTGCCTTTATTACATATATATACACTCAATCATACGTGGCAGTGAACCGTTTCACTGAATTCAGTATTTAAGGACTGTGTTTGTTCTTTCCAGCTGATGCCACTACACAGTATATAGGTTATTAGATATATTTGCAAATACTTACATCAGCATATTCATGGAATGGGGAAAGGCCAAGTCCCTTCCAGTAAGAGCTGGTGTCAAACTCAACCCTGTATATTCCTTCTACAAACTGTTCTTCTGTTGTGAGCTCATGGATCTCCCCATACTCTGTGGTTTTCCTGTAACGGTAAAATACTTACGTAAACATCTTATACTGTCATTTAGATGCTAAACAGAAACAGCCAATGTGAAATATTAAATAGCAGAAGTGCTGCACAGCCAAATTCTACATTGAATGGTTTCTAATAATCTGAAAGAATTCCCTCCTTCTCTGTAGTGTATGTTTCCATATTGCAGAGCCTGACCTTGCTACAAACTCATCCATATACATCACAAATCAAAGCTGGCTGGCTTTTCTTGTCATTTCTGTTGCTACGGCAGGGATTATAGTTAAGGCCTCTCTTTTAATACCATGTTTAACTTGTACCAAGTGCCCTCTGGAACCAGATGTTAGTGGCTTAGGAAAAGGATCGTCATGATGAAAGGCAAGATGCCAAATCTCAAATTATAATTAAAGACAGAAGAGAGATTTTACTGGAAAATTATTTTATTCTCTAGTTATTAGCACTGAGGCTATAGGTTTTACCCCTATGTGTTTTTATGTGACCCTGAGTGGTAGTGTCTTCGAACAGCAATTTAGCATCACAAGATTTTATTAATTTGGATTACAATGCCTTGGTGAAAGAGCAGGGGCCTCTTCCACTGGGTGCCATATAAATGAGCAATAGGAATTCCCAGCTCAGAGAGATTATGTACTCAGCTCGTAACAAAAAAAACTGTGGGTGAATGAAATCCAGAAGCAAGAAGGAAATATAGCTGGCATTGCACCCTCTATGGTTAAAAAGGAGCAAGCTTTGTATGACAGCTGTTTAAATATTTACATACTTAGCTCCTAAACCCCATTTATCTCTTTTTAGCTCCTAAACCCCATTTATGTATTTTCCTTCCTTTTACTTTATTTCTGATTTTTTTTACCAGGGTTTTTTTTTCTGCTGAAAATATTTATTTGATATAGCACTTCATAACCACATGATGTAGTTGAAGGAAAAATGAAGAAAACCTTGACTTGAAGAACTAGTGGAACTTGCCCATCTTATGGCAAGGAGTGGCTGTCTAGGCGGAAAACAGAAAAGCTTGAGGAGGAAGAGAGGGAGGGAGAAAGCAGTGACATGCTGCTTATCAGAGACAGAATCGGTTGTGCTATTGCAGCTTTTCTTTCCCAGCTGCTGCCTCCTCCTTCATCTTATTTGTCATTTTTAATGGTGGTGAGTGAAAAAAGTCTGAATGATAGAGCTTTTGCTTAAATTAAGAAGTAACAGGATCGAAAACCCCATGCTAATTTTCAGGTTTTCTTATATTTCAACTTTAGCACTTGGAAGATTGACAAAAGTCTCACTGGTCCAGCACAAGTGAAATCAACTGTATTCAGGGTAGACCAAACCTGCAGAGAATCCAAGCCCTGTTTGAAACATGGCTCACGGGCAATTTGTGAACACATCTGTTTTCCTTTGGTTTAATTAGTACTTCCTGGCTTAACCTATATTGCCTTAATAAAAGGCAATAGGTAAAAGGCAAAGAATTCATTGGTGATTGTCCTTGAAACCGTGAAACAGAATTGCTGAGACCCTGCAGAAGTGTTCAGAGTGCAAGTTAGCAGTTCACATACATGTGCTTGTAAGTTGGATAGTCTAGACACAAACGAATTAAAAGGAAAAATTATGTCTGCCTCAAAATCTTTGTTCAGGTAAACAAATAAGTTTTAGTTTGAGAAAAGTGCGGATGAAGCTTGAATAGTGCTTTCCCTAATGGGAAGTTGCAGATGTTAACCATCCAGAACAATTGGGAAACTGGAAACAAGAGTTCACTTGAAGACTCTCACCTACTACCAGGAGTTAATGGCACTTTCTTAATTTTGGTTATTAAGTGGTAGCCGTTCAATGCAAGTGGTCTCACAAGCAAACCCTTCAGCATTACTGCTGCACTGACAGCCAACAGCACAGCATGCGATTCAGAGCCTGGGTGGGATTAGCACAAGGCAGAGGATGCCCTGCATTCAGCCCTGGTGGCAAAATGCTACAAGTGGTTCCTTCTGAACAGCACTTGTATTTCTGTCTGAGTCGGGGAATGAATATAGTATGGTTGCTTATTCTTAATAGGATGTGGACTTACAGCATCCGCTCTAAGATGGACAGTTAAGTTAAAAAAGCTGAGCTTTTCCAGCAAAAAATTTGCAAACCACTGATTAAGTTACTACGGCTCCAGCCTAGACTGCAATCCTCATCCTCTGTTTCACTGTCTGGACCTTAGCTGTGTATTGTGATCAGGTTACATCTACACTGTCTGTGCAATGACGTTTATGAACACTTGGGACACATGCTGCACTGAGATAAACTCTGCCCTCGGATGCAGACTGCTGAGGAAATATCTCAGGAACATGAATTATTATTTTGGAGTTTAAAAAAAAAAAGGAGGGTGGAGGGAACCACTTCAAATATGCTGCAGTTTAGTTTTGTTTTGTTTTGTTTTTATGATTTACAACCTAGGACACATGAGAACTACGTCTGGTGAATGCAACTCTTGAACTACGTGATAAGACCCAGATTTCCAAAATCATGTGAGGAGTGAGAAGGTCAAAGCTAGTCATGGGAGGAGCTCATATAGAACCCAAATCACATGTTTCCCAGGTCTCTGTGCCCTAAAGCCTTCCGCAGAGTGTGTCTCAGCTCGAGTTACCTGTTTTTGCATATTTTTGGCTAGACTAATTTTGAAATAAGGCTCTTAGCATAGCAACAGCTGACTTTATTAACTTCCTCCCTTTAAGCCTTTTAAATACTATTACTCCAAATTCCGCAGTTGCTAAGTGCATTTGCTTAATTCCCTAAAATGTGTTAGCAAAGTAAAACCAAACAAACAAAAAGGTAAAAAAAAAAAACTTTTATAGACATTTTTACAAAATGTAACTTTTCCATATGCATCTGCTAGGTACTGTAACTTCAAAATATTATTAACCTGACAAGAGTAGTTACAGATTGTGTTCCTTGATTGCATTCAGATTTTCATCTGGTTTACACAGAGAAACTCTGGTTTTCCCAAAAGCAAAAACTTGCAATCACATGTGAAAACCCAGTTCAAACAAGTGTCATCAGCTAAAGTCAATGGTATTGCTGAAAGCAGCCTTGGTTAAGATGCAAGTCAAGGGAAATGTCAAAATCTTTACCTGCAAAAATTGTGGTTTAATGTTCCTCCACAGCCTTCCCCCAGCAAAATGCTTCTCACTTGCCTGGGGTTAATCTTCTCAATTTATATTTAAGAAGTGATTTCATTTTCTCAGGGGTATACTGGCCTAAAGTGTCAACAGAGGTTGGCTAAGAAGAACTGAGGATTTGTCTCCTTGGGCTTGCTGAGAGCAGCATTGCAAACTGAACCAGAAAACACTGTTACACCCCAAAAGTGAGGGCATTTAACACTGATGTTGCATTTATCTTACTCCTCTGTAAATTGTGTTTTGTATTACATGTTCAAGAGCACGTGGTGAAACATTTGAAATAATCTGGTTTCCTGATAATGGCAGAAATCCTCACTAAGGACAAGACATTATCCTTGTCTCTGCTTTCCATGGAAATGATATGTCATTTTTTCATGGGGCTTCTCTGTTCGTTAAAGTTCTAAGAGTCATTTGTTCCTAGATTAACACTCAGCATTTGGGAGTGGAGGTGTTTGTTTCTCCTTCAATCTCCTAACCTTTCTTGTTCCTTTTCAATGGGGAAGAGTATTTTTTATTTTGAGTTTTATAAAAAGAAACCCTTCAGACGGAGACAATGATATCTCTCTCCTTGTAGTCTTCTCCTCTGTTTTTTTTTTTCTTCAGTTTTTATGTAAATCATGCTATAAAAATCCTAGTAAAAGACAGTTGGATGCTCTGGTGGCTCCTGTCCATGCTTGTGCTTGTCATTCTGCGCTTGAATATCCTGCTGTTACTAGAGATTTCCCTTGACTTATTTAAAAATCTGATTCAATGAGTTGTTACAATGAAACTTAAATGCCTGAATACCTCATCTATTTTAATTTTAGTAAACTGTATTCCTCTGTTACTCATACTTTTTCCACAGACTGAAGATAATGGTATTATTGCCTGCCTCTCAGTATTGTTCTGAGGATGCTTTGTAAGTATTAAGCTGTCATTCTAGCAAAAGCCATGCAGATCTATAGAAATGAGCACAAACAAATGCTGAGATTGTGCTTGTGTGATGTGTTATAATGGGACTCTTTAAAACTTTCTGGCCAAGGAGTTTCTTCCAACCAGGACGTTCATTACACAGGAGAAGACGACTAATGTGCTTGTTATTTGCATGTGTATAGACAAAGCTTACAGAGAGGATTCTGTATGTGACTGCTGCAAATAAATCTCTATATCTGTTGCACATGAAGATGTAGGTTGGTCTGGATTACCTACAAAATTCTGGTAAATAGGCTTTTAATTTTTTTTTCTTTTTATAGAAAGGAAAGATAGTACTGAAGCTAGGAGAAAAATTAATTATTAAACCTATTCCCTTACAAAGATAAGATGAGCATCTCAACCTATTTTTGCAATTAGCATGTATTTCAGTCACGGATAAATTCTACCTGAATGTGATGGATTTTAGACCAGAATTCACATGCTGTTAACAGTGATAGTGTGACATGTGCTAGAAAACATTGCTTTTTTTGATCAGAGCTCCATTCCCTTAATTTCTCAATTGTTTGCCCGAGGCACCTTGAAAATGGCTCCATAAGAGCACATAACTTACCCAGTAGCAAAGTCCTGCCAGCTTCCATCTGCAGCCTTTTTAAAGACTTTAACAGCTACGTTAGCTGCAGGACTTCCTCTGACTGCATCCAGCACTTTCACCATGAGGGGGCATTTGGAATCAACAGAGCCATGGGAGACCTTGGGGAAAGCAGAAGAGGTTGTATAGGAGCAGTTCACCAGCCCTGCAAAAACCTTCTTTCAAAGAAAAGATGGATTCTTATTGCAGAATTAACGTTGACTTAAAAGCAAGTTCTTCACCAAATGGTATTTCAAGCTAGTTTGCAAACATCTATTTCTTAAAGCAGAGTATCTTAGAGCTTTATACAGATAACTTTTACACACACATACACACGCACAGATTGCTTGATAAATATTGCTTGATAAATATTTAGAGTTGCATATGGCCCTGGGAAAATGTTATAAAGTATACCTTTTTTAATGAGGTCACAAATAAAAATATAGTACATTATTATAAGTGCAGGCAGAGTATGTTTGCCTTGGAAACCAACAAAGAAATACCCATGACATCCCTAAGGCTGAAAAAGTATTTAGTTTTTAAGCTTCATTTCACTATAAGGAATCTTTAGTCATACCTCAAAAATATTTTTTTAGTGCTTTAGAGAAGCACTTGTTTGGTGAAGAAGGTAAAGCTACCTCTATATTGAAGATATGGGATGTAAGTCATGAACTGACAGAAACAGACAGAAATAAAAGGTCACACCTCCTAGATCCCTGACCCTTTCATAATATCCTAAAATAGATGGGTAAATGGCAAAAAAGAAGTTTTAAGAATTCTGAAGAAGCTACTTAAAAAATGGTAGTAAAATAACACTCCAGCAAAGCCTAATGGTTACAGAATTTCATGGATGAGGAGGATGCTAGTCATCTAGAAAATCTAGATTATCATTCTTGTAATGATTGAGTTTGAATAAAAAGAGACTCACCAGTGGTGCAGCTTCAGAGAAAAATACCAGTCCAGCTAAGAAAACAAAGAGCACAGAGTGAAAGGCCATTCTGTTTGCTGTTAGTGAGCCTTGGTGCCAGCAGCTAGGAGCTGAGGGGATTTGGGATTTTATAGCCGATCTGACAACAAAACAGGCTGCTTATTGGGTGCCCATATGACTCCAAATCTGCTGATTCTGATTATTTGCTTAGTAAACAGTCCAATCCTACAGTTAGTCCATGAATAGCACTGCCATTGCAGTCAATGGAAGGACTGCAGGATCACTAGAGCAAAGAGAATAAGTAACGGACACAAACATGACCCTTGCCTGGGGAGATTAGACTCGTAGAAAGCCCTCCACAAAATAATGCAAACAACCTTTGTTTGCCCAGAAATCCAACCAGTTCTAGGAGATCTTCTTTACCTTGCCCTCAGGTTGTGCACAATAATGTCCCAATGCTTTCTCTGCACCTGCTCCATGTTCCTTCTCCATGTATTTAGAGCTTTCTGAAGACCAGTTCCCACATATAGATGCAGACTCAGGTGATGGAGTTTGTTCATTGTCTGGCTCAAGTAGTGCTAATGGTCTGTGCTGGGAGACAGATTCCCAAGCAGTTCCCCTGCTTGTTGAAAAGGAGCAATGTTTCTTTTTGAAACCTGATTCAGATAGGATCTGACAACATCTGCCTCTCACCAGAAGTTCCTAAGGATTCATCTTGCCTAATCTTCAGGTAGACTCTGAGGTTTCCTCTCAGTCACTGGGAAGAGACCTGGAGAGATTTGGCCCCCTGGGAAGGTAAAGGTCTCAGAAAAATGAAATGAGTCCTATGTTGCTCCATGTACCCCAGAAGGAGCCAACGCAACTAGCATAGACTGATAGCTTATGTTAACATCTAACTAACGTTCTAGTTGCCAAACTCTTATTATGCTGGAAATGTTACTGTTATGCTCTGAAATGCACATTTAGGTACGAGGTTTCTCAGGGGTGAACTCAGCCCCAAACTAAGTTGGGAGAAGATGTCAACTGGGGGAGTAGCCATGGTGCAGCTGGGTTTCTCCAGCTGCATCACATAAAAATTGTTCATATTGTACCCTGTGCTAGCTGAGAGGCAAAGAAACAGCCCTGTTTGGCATTTCCTTCTCCCCATGTCCTAAACAACCCTGAGTCTACACTTCTGTTCTCAGGAGCTGGCACACTTAGTTTTTACTGATTTCACAGTGTTCTAACAAAAAGCAATTTTGCCTCTTAACTTGAATATGATTATGATGAAGGTCTTAGAGAGAAATCATGAACGGTATTCTCCAGTGGCTTTCCTGTGTTCAGGCTGCTTTATGCAGTTGTTCTTTTTAGGCAAAGTCGTTTTTTGAAAAAATCTATATTACAGTAATCTCCTGAACTGGGATTAAAGTGCCCTTTGTACTTTCAGCAAAGCAGGCTGATACGTAGGTAGCATTCTACACTCTCTTTGCATGCACGTAAAAGTCAATGCAAGGTGCCCAGCAGTAACAAATCGTGCTGCAATCTAGTGCTTGTGGGTTGTATTCAGATCTTGGAAAGGTAAATACTGCTCTTAGATCTGTGCATCAACACTTTACTTCATTATTTTGCTCTCATTGTTTGCAAATATTTCTCTGAAGCGTTAAAGCTTTGTATGTCAGGAAGATAAATTTTCTGTATTCTAGTGCAAGTAGACTGTCATTTGCTATTAGCTGTTCTGCAAGGAAGTAATGCCAGGAGCTAATGATACTGGCACCTGCCTGCATGAAAAATTGCTCTCCTATGGGAGAATGAGTTCAAAAAAATGTTATTTTTCCTAGGTTTCTCTGCAAGGTAGCAGTTTCTGAAAAATCAGGTCTGCAGGGATAGTACATTTCAGCTGTCTATATTATTTATTTTACGTTCCTTGTTTATAACATTGATCTTTTGGCAGCTGGTTTTTATAGTGAATAAGAAGCATGGAAAATTCTAACCCCAAACATGAATTTTTTTCTTGTCCTTCATTTGCTGTTTTTTTCAACTCTCGCCATCCCATACACAGCCTAGATAGGGATCCTTTGACTATTAGCAGGGGCACCATTCTGAAGGGAAATTTGACTTTGTGTGTTTGTGAATCTCCATTCACACATTTTGCAGATAACTAGATTATTTCTGTAAGTTCTAAGATACAAGTGGACTCAGTGAGAAGGTAAAAAAAAAAAAAGTCTTTATTATTTCTCTGATCTGGAAGGCCATGGAGCGTCTAGAATTTATACAGAATTCTATTAAAATCCCATGTGAACTTGATTTAAAATTACTGTAGCCTAGTGAAACCAATGCTAGGTAGATCTTCCTCCTTCCATTGTCAGCCTCAATCTATATTACCACAATATGCTAATGCTTTCCGTAAAATGTATGGAAGGGCTCAGGAATTTGGAATAGTTGGCTGAGAAGAATGATTCTCCCTTGGTGAAGGATCAAAACATGTGATTGTGGGAGGGAAAAGGAGAAAGGGGATGGGTAACTGCTGAGCATCCAACAAGTGCTGATTGACTGTTGTCTATCTGTTGTTGTTAAACCTTTTCTGTGCCATGGGAGTCTGAAGCTTATAAACTGAATAACTTATCCCAGATAAAAAAATATGGGAACGTGAAATGACAAGGGGCCGAGCACGGGGGTGTAAGTGGGGCAGGGAAGCCCTAGGCCTTCTGAAGGAGTAGGGAAGCTGCCATGAAGGGCAGGAGATACGGCTGCTCCCAGAGACTGCTAGCAGGATACATGCCACAAGGAAAGCGATGCAACACAGAGCCTTAGCACAGAGCAATAGCAGAAAAGCCCTACTGTAAGAAAAGAGTAAACAGAGTCAGTGAAAACTCCTCAGAAAGAGATATTTAGGAATCCTGGTGTGGAAGAAACAGTAGGGTTACATAGCTAATACAGAGATAGCATAAGGCTATTTGGGGGCTAGAGGACACACAAAACCCAGAAGAAGGGGTGATCACCCAGCATACAGGGTGATTAGGGGGCCAGAGAAGAGAATGGCAAAGAGTCCCTGGTGTGCACAGCAACCTCAAACTCATGGAAGCCAAGAAGTATGAGACCTGCAGTTATGGAAAAAATTAGATAATCCTCAAATATGTAAATGCTTTAAGGCTTATCTGAATTCCAAATCAGTTGAAGTTCATCTCTGAAGAATTAGAATTAATGCCTATTTTTAATGAAAGCATGTTCCCTGCTTGGAAGCATTACAGCGTTCAGGTCAAGAACAAACATGTCCGCTAATACTCTTGTTTATGTCAAGGATTTTTCCAACTGCGCTACAGTATTTTTCTCTTTCTTCCATGTAGTCTCACACACTTATGCTTGCTTTACATAGATAAGCTCCTTATTCTCTGCTCCATTCCCTTCTATTTGATTTTATTTAGAAAGCCAGCTGCTTCTACATGACAAAATGCTCAGACAGGCTGGAATATCTGACTTGGACCATAAAACCCTGTAAGCTTCTCTCGTGACATTGGAGTGAAAGGGGCTGATAGATGGTAAGCCGTTCGGTAATCTGGATAGATTTCCCTAGATCTTTCCAAAGAATTAATGAATTCCTGAGCTCTGAAAAAAATCCTTTCTATAGTATAGAGACCTGAATGTGACACCTTCTTTCACTTTTCTGGAGTAACATGGGACTTACAGGAAAAGACCTGAGATTTACCTCTTGAAGAAGTTTGCCTGAATTTTCTGAATTAGAGTCAAGAACTCCTTGAGTTTTCCTCCAGGTGTCTGCCACTGAGTTGCTGTGGCAGAGCTCTGGCACGTCAGCGAGTGCTTAATGCAGTAACTGCTGAAGCTGAGGGATTTTCTGTTGATTTCACTTTTCGCTAATTATGTAACATTTTCCCTCTCTGCAAAGCCAGGGATAATACTTTTCTAATTAAAAAGTGTGCTCAGGGAGGTTCATGTTTGAGCTTGAATTTCAATTTGTAAAGAATTGCATTAAAAAATAGTGGCATTTCAGGCATGTGTGGTGTGTGCACGTTTGTCAACCTGCTGCCCATTTTGATTTTCTATGAGGAGTATGTCTGTATTTAGAGTTTTAATGATCATTCTCAGATTTCTTTGTTCATAGGACTAACACTGGCTGTTTTAATGGGAAGTAAGGAAACACTACTGATCTTAAACAGAGAAATAAGAAAATCATCCTTATCTTGTATCCTACATCAAATCCAGTTAATTTGAATACAAGGAAGTGTAAACTGTTAACAAACAATTTAGAAGACAGATGGGTTGGGTTGGGCTTCAGGTATAAAAATCACAGTTTCTGATCATTTCAAGGTTATGTCCAAGATGCATCCTGGGTCATAGCCCAAAGTCCAAAAAAAAGAAACATCTAAATAGATGACTGTTGCTTTGGGGCATTTGTAATATATGAATTCATCTGGCACCTGCTCATCTCAGAAGGCTTTTGCTCTCTAGTGTTTAAACTCCAAGGTCACCTCGTGGTGATCAGTGCTCATTAGCTACCCCTATAGTCCCTGTGATCCCTCTAAAACAAACTTCTGTTCTTCAACTTTAATATGTATTCATGTCCACATACTAATCCATCAGTCTAGACAAGTGATTGCAAAAAAAAACCCAAATCAATTTATACACAAAGCGAACTGAATAACCTTGTTCCAGCCCTGACGCCTTAACCTTTCCTGTTGCTGAAAGATGCTTGGAGCTTGCCATGAGATCAATGTTTTTAAAGGTCAATTTGTTTGTTAGCAAAATGATTAGATGGTTTAGGTTATAAATTTATTTTTTGTCCCCCTCTTACAGTAAGAGGCACACAGTAAATCTACAACATGATGCAAATGTTTCTGATAGCAAAACACATTAACGGAGGCCACTGTTTTCATAGAGTCTTGGCTAGGCTCTTTTGGGAGTGTATCACATAAATTTAAGGGAATCTCCATAAATTCTCAATTTATTGTCAGTGGACTGCAGATGTCAAATGAATAATTAGATCAGACTTGACAATGAAAATCTTCTAGCTAATATGACCATTAAAAAGATTCTGTAGGGTTAAATTATAATCTTTTCTTAGGTTATAGATATATTTGCTAAAGCTATTGCAGCTATGTACTTTGCTCAGCATCTTGCTGTTCAAGATTGTAAAATGCTGAGTCTAAGGCACTTCATTCTGGTACCTGAATACAAATAGGTGTGTG